AAAACTAACCCTCTCGATGTGCTGCATTTATTGAACATATCTTGGAATCACACTTCAGAAAAAGATAATAAAGAACTGATCTTGCTAGCTTTTTAATAAATGATAAAATAGAGGAAGTGAAGAAGAAAAATGAACGTTTCCAACTTACATAGTTGTGAAGAATTTAACTCTTGGTGGATACTGATGAAAAAGCTCAAGTTGCAGCATTGTTAACAGAAAAGGGAAAAGGGTATCTGCCTGTTGCTTTCTGAAACAAATTTAAGAGTCCACGAGTGGCCGAGCGGTAAAATCGCTGAATACTGGTAGTTCTGACCTGGGTTCGAATCCTGGTGAACGGGCTGGCTGCATGGGCATTTTAGCTAACAATTTAGCCTTCCACAAAGACATCCCTTCCTTTAGACAGATAGCCTTTGTGTTCTTTGCCATAATCAGCTAATAAATCAAACGGAAACAAACTTAAGCACGTCATGTTACAAACTTTCTGAAAAAGAAAATGATGAAATCGGCGATTTTCTTACAGATGTTGAGATTAGAGATGCTCTTCAGCATCAGTCAAACAGCCAAATAATTTCTAGAAGTATTAGGAATATAAACAGTTTTTATCTTATGTAATATTTGCAGATAATCACTATTAATGACTTTTCTTAAATAATATGCTGTGAAAGTGGGTATTTACATTTTCCTGCTATATTTATAATAAGATAATAAAATTCCGCTGTTTGTAATTAGTTGGAGATCTCGCAGGAGGCCTGTTGACAACATTTCAATTTTTACTTGTCAGAGAACTCTTTTGGCTATCCAAATTGGGAAAATTGCAACTTCGAAATAAGGTCTGAAGTTTAAAACCAACATTAATCAGTAACTGTTAAGAGGGAGGCTGTTTTCTGTAGAATATGTTATTTTACTGTTAAAAAAGTTAACCAACTATTTTGTTGATATAAAATTTCGTTTTGATGCTGTTTGGGACTGAACTCTTTGTGTTAAACAAGCAGCTACAAAAATAAGGTAATTTAAAATTTGCAGTATCGCTGAAATTTTACACACTATTCTCTGTATTGAAAGCTCATGCATTTTTGCAAGGAAAGGATTATATATTATTTCTCTTTTGCATTTTGGCTGACACTGAGACGAACGTATTTTTTAAAAAATCGAGAGATGTCTATTGTAAATTGTCAAACACGAAATTATAAAACGATAAAATGTCAAATTAAGAATTTGACTGTATGGATAGCTACTATATTTAATTCATTGTCTAAAAAATTTTAAGTAATTTTTTAACTTATGCGCTTTTTTTTTATCTTACTTTTAATACTTTGGCATGTAGAGGCTGCTGATTCAGTTTGACGTTTTGGGTACATGTATTTACCGTAGGACCTAGAAAATTATTGAATGTTTTATAGTTTGGCGCATATAATATCCTTTGGATTAATGTACACTGAAGAACGAAAACATTATGACCATCCCCATCCTCTTCAATGAATTCGTCTGGATGACTTTGAAGGAACGCGATTAAGGGGGAATGGTATTTAACTGCTGCTTTGGAGGCGGTAAGAATCATTCTTGCATTTACTTTTCTGAATGATGGGAGAGGCTGCTGATCTAAGCGAATTTGATAGGGGGCAGATTGTAATGACCCGAAGACTCGGAGCAAATATCTCCGAAACTACACGACTGGTAGGTTGTTCACGATCTGCCGTTGTTAGTATTTATGCAGAGTGGATGACGATGAAAGCAGCAGTAGACGCCAAGCTTTTAGACTGCCACGCGTCATCAAAGATAAAGGACGTCGGAGACTGTCCCCTTAGTACAGCAAAATCGGCACCAGACAGTGGCTCAGCTGACAGTCCAATACAGTACAGGCCCAAGTGCAACAGTTTCGGAACACGCAGTTCGGCGGACACTGTTGGGTATAGGACTGCGTAGCAGCCGTCCAACTTGTGTGCCTCTGTTGACCAAGCGTCATTGTCAACTACGCTGACAGTGGTCCCTGGAACATCGAGACTGTGCCATGGGTAAGTGTAAAAAAAGGCAGCTTCGCCTGGCCGGATGAATCAACGATTTCTCATTCATCACGTCGATGGACATGTAAGAGTACGCCATCTTCCAGGCGAACAGTTGCTTCCCCCTGTACAGAAGGTCATACAGAGGCTGCTGGTGACGGTATTATGCTTTGGGGACGTTCTCGTGGGCAGCTCTGGGACCCTTAAATGTGTTAGAACAGATCATGAAAGCGACGGATTATCTGAACATAACTGCGGATCAGTTGGACCTTTACATGCCGTTTGTCTTCCCAACTAGAAATGGCATCTTCCAATAGAACAACGCTTCATGTCACAAAGCTCGAATTGCTTTGGAATGGTTCGAGGAGCTTAAGGATGAATTCCAATTAATGCCCTGGCTACCTCACTCTTCGAATCTTAACCCTTTAGAACATATTTGGGATGTTATGAAGCGGGAACTCGGAGCTCAAAGACCACCATGTCGGAATACCTGGACTATGCGTGACCGCTGCTTAGACATTTGCTACAACATGTCTTCAATCATCTATCAAAAACTTGTGGCATCCATGTCAAAGCGAGTTGCAGCTCTTTTGCAGGCCAAACGTTGAAGAACGCGTTATTAAGTAGGTGGTCGGTCATAATGTTTTGTCTCTTCAGTGTCCTTTTCATCGCAATGTAATGTGCTTTCGGGCGCTTGAACATTTACGTATCTCCACCAACTTCTTTAAACGACTCCTTCAATCCCATCTATTTTTTTCTGGTTATTAAAATAAAAGCTAAATCTTAAATAAAAAATCAATGTCACAAAATTTAATGAAGTAATAAATAAAAAAAAAAACGAAAATTAGTAAGTTAACAATGAATAACGGAATTATTAGACAAATCGTTGTTAGGCGCGGAAAACGTATTCAAGAAAATGTCAGCATAGCACTATTATTGGTGGTATTTACATTGAGCGTGTTCTGTACGGAAATGCATCCATCTTTTCTTCCGCTCATCATTTAATGTTATCAAAATAGCCGAGCACAAACGTGAAGAAACGGCGCTTGGTGTAAAATGCGAAAAACAAAAGAAAAATACAGCGTCCTCATTTGCACTACTATAGATACGTTTTGTGCTCTGAAAACAGACAACTCGAATATCCAGATGGGCTGTGTTCTCAGGTATTTCAGATATCTACAGTTACGATATGTATATTAGCTCGATTTTAAACGGAATTTATTTTTCATTATAGTTCAGCAAAACGCTATAGAATTAAATTGTACTTTGTTACTGTAAGCTATAGTTTTAAATAATGTAACAAATTTCTCATCTTGTATTCATATTTCTCTTACTACTTCAATATATAATGCTTGTTACTTAAGAGAGCTTTAATTTGAAAACACTGCTTGTAACAATTAAATGATATTGACAGAAATAAAACCTAGTTGCTACTTATTTAAAAATTATTTAAAACAATTTACAAAAAAGTATCATGTAACATGTATAATTGTGTTTGCTAGTTAATTATTACAAAACACTGAGGAAGTCAATTTATGGGAATTTGAAATGATTGAATAATTACCTTACATATTTCATAATAAATCTTTTTTAATATGATGTATGGTCAGTTCTAACCGAAATGCAAACCTCTCACATTAATTCCATAAAATTTGCCAAACTGTTGATCAAGTATAGTGGAACTGCACGCCACTCTTCTGAAAGTGCGTGTTTTATATTCTGAAGGCTCCAGAAGAATATTTGGCTCGCTATAATTCGGCAGACAAGGGCATCCCACGCATGAATCCAGTTAAAGTTTTGTGAGCAACCTGGCCAGTCCATTCGAATGATATCTTCCAAGTATTCTGACAAGAGAGATGCTTGATGCGGATGAGCATTATCATCCATTAGCAAACTCTCTGGGCTAGCGACACCCTAAAGTGCATTATATGTGATTCTAAGACCTCATCTACCTATTTGTAACCGGTTGACGATTCTCCATCAAAGATATACAGCTTTGTGCACCCATTTTTGCTAATTCCATCCCCAACCATAAATCCATTCTTGGAAACGGGATCGGTCATGAGCAAAGGAAGGCAAGTTGCATGTTCCTTGGTACTTTTGGAGCAAAGCACGTCTAGAATCACCGTTCGTGCTATATCTTGATTTGTCAGTAAACAGTCCCTCAGTCGAATTCATCTTGGCTCCATTTAGCATGATGATACCACTTTAAATGGGCCCCTTTAGAAGTTGAAGGGAGAGGGATGCAAACCTTTTGATTACTCGCATAAACTCTAACCTCATGAAGCCTTCGTGTAGAAGCAGAGAAGCTGGTTTGAGTTTCTGTGGCAGTCTAAAACCAGTTCTTTTGTAGTATCGTTTTCATTATGCGTCGAAACGTTTTCGTTTTTCTTTGTATTGTCATATCTTTATCTATTTTCAGATACATGGTGAAAAAATATTTGGTAATTGTAAAATTATAATAAGTTAAAGAAATATTAAAGCTGCTAAAAGTTTTGGCGACCCCCGGCTGCAGGTCCCGCGACCCCCATGGGAGTCGTGACCCACAGTTTAAGAAACTCTGATTTAAATGGTGCCTTTGAATCATAACTAATGGATACTGATCACCCTCAGAAATTATATTAACTTGAAACACAACCACAGACCTGAATTTCAGTATCCATGTTCTCAACATGTTCCATGCGCAGCATGTTCTCAGTTGCCTAATTCGTGTATCTCATGTGCCAACCTTATCCGAAAATGTCCAGTTTTGCATTCAGTTGAAGCTAAATTAATATAAATAATAACATCATTGAGCATTAGTTGAAAAACCTTAATCGTAAAGTATATTGTTTTTCAGATCATCCTTTAATTTTCACCAGCACTTTAGCTAGACTGTTTAAGAATTGAATCCTCGTTCTTGTTGTCTCCTCCTTTTTTTAAATGGAAAAAAAAGTGTTTTAACTTGAGAGGTTTGTTTCCTTGTAAATAATTTGTAATATTTAATTATTTTCATTGCAGTAGTAATTTGCAAGACATGTTAGGAACACTTTTTGTCAACAAGGAAATCCCTGAAGCACCGAAGATTAGTTTTTTCAAAGGACTCTTTAGTACTGGCCCTAGTATATTAGATCGAGAAGAATTATGTAAGTTCTTCTTTTGTGTTTATATATTTCATGTGATTAATGTATCAAATTTTTCCTTTTGAGGTTTATCATCCATTAGAAACTTTGTAATTTTAATATTAAGTTTGGTACACACACACACAAAAAAAAGGGGGGAGATTCTAAGAGATCAAAGGAAGGCTTGATATCATTTATATGAAAATGTTAGAAATATATGCTTACAGAAAAACAGTTTTATTATCTTTTGCAATTTCATCTTTTATGTTCTGAAAATAATAAAAATACATTATTTAATTGAAAAACGTAAGTATAAGAGAAACGTAAGAGAGTGTAAAAAAGAAACTTTTTAATGCTTTTTGCTTCTAATGATTCCAACTATAAATCTGTAAATTTTGAATTTCAGTTCTGTGATGCGTTATAACAATGGGCTATATCCAAGCAGTATCAGCTTCTTAGATTTAAGAGTAAAATACGGATTTGCTATCTGTTTTGGTATTTTGTAAACTAATATTTCTCTAGATTTTAGACAAAATATGCTTAATTTTGTTCTTTATTAAAACTATTGGAGAAATAAAAAAGCATTAAAAATCTTTTCAGTGCATTCTTATCACTTAGATTATCAATGAAATGTTATATTTTCTGTGTACATGCATATTTTACTTGGGTTGCTGTGTTTGGTCAGGTTTTGTGTGAGGTATTAATTTATCACAGGGTCACTCAGTTAAACTTTTGAATTACGTCAATCAAAATAAAGTACTTTGAGGAATTATTCCATTAATAAATCCTCTATCTCCTTAGAGGAAACAGAAATAGTTATTGGAATTCTGTGTGCGCATTTTCTGCTTTATGATATATGAAGGTGTCAGTTAATTTTGATGAAATAAAAGCCTCGTCTTCTATTACAGATAATCGCTGGTTTCTACCTAGTTTATTTCGACTTTAGCATCTCCCCGGTTATCGTTTAAATATACGTTCTGTAACTGTCTTAAGCCAGTTTAAGTAGATTATTTTGTGTATGTCAGACTACGTTACCTGCATTTGAATTTAACATTATCTAATGTTAATTTAAATTCCTGCAAGTGGCGAAGGTTCGTCTGTTGCACAAGCAGTGCTTTCTGTTCATTTAAGACTTAAATAAAAAAAAGTTATTTTAACTTATTCAAACTTGGTGATTTGTTTCAGACTAAGCGATAACTCGCTTCCAGACTAGTAAGGTCTGTGAGACATTAATGGAAGCTTTTAGGTACAGCAGAAATCATACAACTTAATATCTTGATTTCATAGAGTTGACTATACTGTTGATCAAGTCTTATGAAATTGCATTCTATTCTTTTGAAAGTGCGCTGCTCAAAAAGTGGTTCCAAATTCTTGAAAGCTCTAAGGAACAAATATAACTGCTTTATAATACAAAGGAGGCTGGTTATATTTAAAATGATTATATACTTTCCATATATATATTATATTCCATATTCTTGTTGAATCTTATTTTATGTGAAAATTGTTAGATGTTTAGAGTTGTTTTTAATGTGTTAAATGCAGGTGCCCTCAAAAAATGTTCACACACACTAATTGCTGATGCCTCATTTAATCTGTGCTATTATCTGCTTGTTAAATGTTTATTTTTGAATACGCACGTTAGTCTTACGTAAATACAAAAGATATGTTATTAATAGAATTTGTGAGTGGCAACAATATTTAATTTCAGTTCATTGTTGTTCTAAAAGGAATATTCTTTGAATTTATATGTTAGAATACTGGATTATCTCGTCTTGTCTCGTAGAATACATAGCCCAAATAAAAACTCCTTTATTTGAGAATTTTTGATGTGTAATGTTAATTTTAATAAAGTAATTCTTGTGGAAACCTGGGGCTCAAAGGTAGATAGTTTAAATGCAGAAACTTTGATGAATTTTCCGATTGAAACTTAAATTTGGCATCCGTCTATAGGACTTTGTAAAGTTGAACAACATTTATTAATCGAAGTTTAAAGGATTTTTTTTTTATCAGTGAAATATATCAAGAAAGAAGATTTAAAACTTTTGGCACATGAAATTGCCAAAATAGTGCCACTATCAGCAAAAATCTCTAAATTAAAGAATATTATTCTAAAAAGCAATCAAAATAAATGTAACCCAGATTTTGTTAAAGGAATTGTGGAGAATGTTGTTGATGATAGAATAACAAAACAAGATTAAGAATTTGAGTGAGAGAAAAAGAAACAAGATCAAGAATTTGAGGCAGAGAAAATTAGACTAAGCAATGAAGCAGAATTGGCAAGAATTTGAGCTCAGGCTGAAAACCAAACTATAATTGCTTTGCCAATTTTAGAAAGCAGTAGTTCGAAGAAAAAGTTTACTTTGCCTAAGGTATAGTTTAAACAGTTTGCCTGTGATTTGAAAAAATGCCTACCCTTTTGGAGGCAATTTGAACGTACTGATAAACATGATGATATTGCCCCTGAAAACAAGTTCCAATACTTAGTGCACACAACTGCCATTGGTTCCAGAGTAAGAGATGTAGTGGAAAGTTTCCCGTCAACTGGTTCAAATTATGCAAAGGTTGTAGGTAGTTTAAAGAGTCGTTTCTGTATAGAAGACACTTAAGTGGAGAAATATGTCAGGGACTTGTTGAAATTAATAATCTGTATACAATCCAACTGAAAATTATCTCTGATATCCCTTTATAGCAAACTTGAAAATTGTTTGCCAGCTCTTGAAACACTGGGAGTTACAATGGACAAATGAGCATGCCTTCTTTATCCCAGGGGGGAATCGTGTTTTGATGAGGACTTTCTAAGAGTTTGGAATAGAAGCCCTTCTTCAAGTTCTGGAAAGGATGCGAAGGAGTGTGTGAAGAATTTTTTGTCATTCCTCAAGAGCGAAGTAGAGGAAGAAGAAAGGATATCTTTGGCAGTGTGGGGTTTTGGCTTAACTAAAAATGAAAATTCGAAGATGCCCAGAAAAAAAAATAATATGGAGCCTCAAAGAGGCAGAATTCATATGGCATCCATGGTGCTGACATCCTCTAAAGAGCGCAAAAGAATGGAACCAAGATGCATAGTTTGTAAAGGCAAGCATTTGGAGAATTTAGATGAGAAGAAGCTTCAAATATTTCGATAGTCAAGAGTTGTTTTTGTAGTTAAAAGCAGCTCTTTTCTTCTGTTGTAAAAAGTATCTGTGTTGACAGTGTTGTAGCTAGTGTTGACAATTACACTGCTTTAAAAGATTTTATTTCTAAATCCAGTCTACTGATGTGAAAAGGCTCAGACAGTGGGAATATACATGAGAGGACAAAACTGAGTCCTGTCTTAGGCCTTGTGTTGGTCAAACTGGTTGGGAAACACTTGTCTAAAGCCTCATATGTAATCCTCTATTTGATTCCTTAAAGGTTTATATGAGCTAGATCATGACTTCTTAAACTTTTTTCAATCAAGACCTCTTTTTATTGAGATATTTTTCGTGACCCCAGATATTAAATATAAAATAAAGATATAAAAATAAATATCCTCCCGTAAATAATTTACTTCTTTGGTAAAAAATATATGTATAAAAAGAAGTAGTCTTAGATTTTTTTTAGAAGTAATTTATTTTAAGCAAACAAAAATTAAAGAAAATTCTAATGAGGCAAATGTGCCTGTTTTCTGCTGCATGATAAATTAAATGCTGGTGCAATGTTTGACCCTCCTGGACATAAACCAAATGTTTCAATGTTAAACGACATTTGGTTTTAATTTGACTTAAACTGAAAAAGTAATTTTATGAAACTTTGTGGTGTTGAATGAGAGAAGAACATTTAATGCCATTTCAGAAATAGTGAGAAATTTGACTTAATTTAAATTTTTAATTAATAAACTCCAATCCAGAATTCATTAAAAATGTTTCTGAAAATCTAAGTTTTAAATTTGAATCGCTAGATAGCTTTACAAATTCCTTTTGCATTTTATATAACAGGCAATTAATCTCATTGATATAAATTAATATAAGGTCATTAAAAGTCTAATCTCATTAATATCAATTAATGTAATTCTTTAAAAGTCTTATGAATGCAGTTTCTTTAAATTCAACTATCAAATTGAATTTTTACGATCGCAAAATTTCGATTTGCGATCCCATTTAGGGTCGCGACCCATAGTTTAAGAAACTCTGAACTAGATGAAAGAATTAAATCTTGGAAAGATAACTGAGCGAGTTATGTTATTGATAGCTCATAAAAATTTTGATCCAATTGGGTATACTGCTCCAGTTGTTTTGCCCCAAGATAATGAATGTTACAAAGGGCTTAGAAAATAGGTGTAAAATGGAACACAGAAATCATTGGTAGTTTGAGAAAAGAATTCTTGCAGTGGTTTTAAGAATTAAAGATTCTAGAAAAAATTCATATTTGTTGATGGAATCATGTTACAGCAGAAAATTTGAAGCATTGCACAGTTAAAAGTTTCTGTGATGCTAGCTAAGATGCCTATGTTGCTGTCAAATTTTTTAGATTAGAAGAGAAAATTTCATTGAACTATTATTGCTTGCTGTGAAATTCAGATTAGCTGCTCTAAAAGGCAGAACAAAACCACATATAGACCTTTTAGCTTCCTTGGTAAGTGCGAGATTGACAAATTCGGTAGTTGGAATATTGAATTGGAACTATGTAAAATGTTACTTATCAGTGTTACTGGTGACTCAACTACTGTTCTTGTATGGGTATTTATCAAAGAGAAGTGTTCAGTGCTTGTCCATAATTGGGTAGAAGAGATAAGAAAACTAACTTCTTTTGCATGAAATTATGTAGCTTGTGAACTGATTTCCGCCAACTGGCCATCTAGGGGCTGTACAGCAACACAACTTTTGTCACGGAGATGGTGGGAGGACCCCTCCACAGTTGTTGATTGAACCGACAGATTTTTGGAACTGTGGAAACATCATGAATTAAGATATTAATCAAGAAGAGACAGAAGAGGAGAAGTTAAAATTTACAAAATCTTTGGCTTACATTGAAAATATTACCCAGTGTAACAGGATCTATTCGTACTT